GATAGATAGATAGATAGATAGATAGATAGATAGATAGATAGATAGATAGAAAGACTTCTGCAGCACATCTTAGGAGATTTGTATCATACCTGGCTGGGGAATTCTGGGAGTTGAAGTCCACACAGCTTAAAGTTGAATGAATGAATGAATGAATGAATGAATGAATGAATGAAAGAAAAAGAAAAACTTCCGCAGCACATCTTAGGAGATTTGTAGCATAGCTGGCTGGGGAATTCTGGGAGTTGAAGTCCACGCAGCTTAAAGTTCTATGAATGAATGAATGTCACATCTGCCGCATGTCTTCCGTTTGATTTTCCATTCTGAGCTTGGATAGTGGCTGAGAACCAACGTCCGTCAGCCCAGACAAAGGGAAAATTTTGCCCAATGCTTCCTGCTTCCTTCTCGTTCTCCTCCCAGGCGTCAGGATGCTGGACGGCGACGTGAACGACATCGTGGAGGCCCAGTCGCTGAGCCTCCAGCCGCAGCACATTGACATCTACAGTGCCAGCTGGGGCCCCGAGGATGACGGGAAGACGGTGGACGGCCCGGGGGTCCTGGCCAGAGAGGCCTTCCGCAAGGGGGTAGCCAATGTGAGAAGGGGGGAAAGGAGTCCCTGTGCTCGCCGGCCTCTGCTTTGGGGGGGGGGGGGATTAAGATTCCAGAATGGGACCTAGAGCCCCAGTGGCTAGAATGCAGCATTGCAGCTGACTCTGACCACTGCCAGGGGTTCGATCCTGACTGGTTCAAGGTTGACTCAGCTTTCCATCCTGCTTTCTGAGGTCGGTAAAAAGAGGACCCAGATTGTTGGGGGCAAGAGGCTGACTCTGTAAATTGCTTAGAGAGGGCTGTGAAGCACTGCGAAGTGGTATATAAGTCTAAGTGGGAAGGAAGGAAGGAAGGAAGGAAGGAAAGGAAGGAAGGAAGGAAGGAAGGAAGGAAGGAAGGGCCATGGTGGCGCAGTGGGTCAGAATGCAGCATCGCAGGCTATGCTGACTGCCAGGGGTTCGAATGTCACCACACTCAAAGTTGACTCAGTCTTCCATCCTTCCGAGGTCAGTAAAATAAGGATCCAGATTGCTGCGGGCAAGAGGCTGGCTCTGTAACTGCTTAGAGAGGGTTGGAAAGCATTGTGAAGTGGTATATAAGTCTAAGTGCTGAGAGTGAAGGGAAGAAAAGGAAGGAAGGAAGGAAGGAAGGAAGGAAGGAAGGAAGGAAGGAAG